CTAGATATTCTTTGTAAGTAGATATCTAACCTTTGGTTACAGAATTTAACTTTTGATTGAAATAGCATAGGCGTAGGACCGGGGGCGCATTATATCTACATATAATCAAAGGATACCTAGAAATATAGATATCTATAATCCAAAGTTAAAATTCTGCAATCAACTGATAAAACCGGTACTATAGCTAAAGTACTGTATGAATAGGTGAAAACTGATTCCTTTTTACGATGACGAATGATTAAATTGAGAGCATGATCAACCCTGATTCGTTAAGCTCGTCAAAACAACGTACTGATTGATACTACAACAGCCTGGCAATGAAAGCCCGAGTCTTGAACTATCTTGACAGACAGCGTTTAATCGAAGCTGATGCGTAATTCTAGTATAACTTTTTACGACCCACTAACATTCCGCTTGCAACCCACCAGACCCATAGTTTGGGAAACGCTGATGTATACCAATCAAATGTCTTAACGCATCTAAGAGAAGGTTTACCCTGGCTGTAATTTTGTAACCCACAGAATCGTGGGCATCCTTTCACCCAGCACCTAACGCAGAAACTTATACTTAAAAACTAACTTCAGAACACTACAGTTACATAACCTATTACTTTACATAACCCTATATGTTCATAACTCTTCACATGCTCCCCCTCTCCAGTGGCACAGCGGTGAGTTTGCGGATTTATAACACTAGAAACTGATTTTCGATACCCGTGGTAGGCAGAGCATAGATAGCCCATTGTGTAGTTTTGTGCTTAACTACGACCAACCTCACTACATAAAAAAAAATCCTGTAACTTTGTAATCCCATCGTACTGACTTTCCTATTTTCACAATTCACTACATGCCCCCCCCCCGCAGTGTCACAACGGAAAGTCTGCGGACTTTTAACGCTAGAAACCGGTTTTCGATACCTGTGGTGGGCAGAGCACAGCCCATTGTGTAGCTTTGTGCTTAATTACAAAGAAATAAACTCACTACTCGAAAAAGAATTCTGTAACTTTGTAACTCCACTGTGGTATACAGGGCTCTCTAGTTTAAAAGATTTTCTTTTAAAGCTACGATAATGGCTTTTGAAATATGTTACTTGTATCATTAATTCTAAGGGTAAACTATTAACGCCATCTTGAAAGTTACGGTTTACAAAATTACTTCGTCTGCTTCAATGCTATATATATATATATTTTAATCAATGTTTCCAAACCCACTTGAAACACATCACATGGAAGCAACAGACACGCCAAAAAAAAAAAGTTAATTTTCAACTCAAAAACTTCAGAAGTTAAAAACCATTTCGTCTTTTTTTCCATTAAACTTTCTAAAATATTCAGTTATCACTTTTTGCCGTAATCTCTGAGGGCGAGCTGCAGGATTTTAATTTTTGCAAAAAAAAAAAAGAAGAAGAAGTAGGAGAAAAAAAAATAAGGATATTCTCTTTAATACAAAATTTATTAGTTTCGAAAATATTACTTCTCTTTTTATAATCAATAAATTCTTTTAGCACGAGAAACGTGAAATTGAAGCATTCATAAGAAAACATTTCCGGAACATTTTTTTTTTCACTTCTAACTGCTAATTACAAGCTAAATGTGTTTTGTTTTATGTCGTTGTAGACCATAATTAACGTGTAGTATATGTGTTAACCGTCTCTGCCTTTGAAGTGATAAACTACAAGGAAAGTAATTAGTCAACACCACCCACCGCCAACAGTTGTTAGACTGTGTAGTGGGACTTGGCCGTCACAGTCCGAAACACTACTCACTGGGCCACTCTTGGCCTCATAATTAGTGAGAATATAAGCACTGCAATAAATGATTTCCGAGCGCTCTTCTCTTTCTCAGATTCCTCTACCTATATAAATATAATAGTACTGTCTGTTGTCTGTCCGTGTAATTACTTCGTAGGGTGTGGATGGATCTTCACCAGAGTTAGTATGGAGGTTTATTAGATCCGCGTGAGGGT